ATCAGACACTGTCAATTTACCAAGTTAAGAATGAAAATATCAGATACTGTCAATTCATCAACAGGATTAGAATAAAACAGCTCACATCTATCAATTTATCAGACAATTCAAGCAGAGTTCACACTGAATCATAATAAGTCAATAAGGAAAAACAACACACACACAGTCAATATACAAATATGAGACCGGCTGTATTTTCCTCTTCTTTAATCCTTCTGTCAGAAAACTTATTTCAGGAGGTTGGTAGCCTTTATGAAAGCTATCGTGTGGTCCATATCCTCTCGTGTCCCATACAGTTTTGTCTTACTTTTAAGTATTAACTGCAAAAAAAAACACGCCTGAAAATGATTTTTTAAACGTAAAACATACAGACGATAAAACTGTATTGCTCAAAGTTGGCAGCAGCTTCAAAAATGAGTAAACTGGGTTCTTCTTTATATTATTCTTAGTGTTCACTGCTGTGAAGAGTTCTGGTTGTTCATCCACTTCTAGACTTTAGTCATGTTCCAGAACTTTAGTTCTGCACGCACATCCATTTTACAGATTTAACATTTGAATGCAGACTATTGGTTCCTCACACGTAGGCAGAGGCACTCTGACTTTGGCGGAAACATCCAAAATCACTAGACTTTTTCAACATGCTTGTTTGGGGGACAGGGACAGGGGATGGGGGGCAAGTGGATCTATTCTTTCTCTCCCCACAAAGGGGCCTCAGAACTCAGACAAGATATGGTCAATGTAAAGCTGACCATCTTTACTTTCCCCACTGCATGTGTGAGTGAATAAATTCACAGGACAGAGGGCGCTGGAGACTCACAACAGCATACCCTCAATGTGGAGATGTCTGATACCTATCAACCTGTCCCACTTAACTAGTTGTACAAAAGTTAACATACTTCTTTTCTTCTGTGTTCACCCTTAAAATGGTGGATGCAACTTGTGTTGTAGTTTATACCTAGGCTGTGATATTTGCACCCTTCAGCAAAACATATCCAATATAAGGAAATCCATAAATTAGTTAGCTTCTATGACATGATTGTAGATTAGTTAGCTTCTATGACATGATTATAAATTAGTTAGCTTTTACGACATGCCTGTAAATTAGTTAGCTTTTAGGACAAGCTTGTTTAGGAACTGTGGGTCTATTCTTGTTTCTTCATTAAAAAATTTAGATTTGGAACCCACAGAGGCAAGTTAACATACAAACAGCCCAAACAATAGTTAGTTAGTTAGTTCAACAGGTTATCCTCAGTGCACATTTAACAAGTTCCTAAGCGCTGGGATACCATTTTCAGTATATCCCTCAGCGTGTGGCGACGATGACACAAGCTTTGTGTTGGTTTACTATTCTTTTTTTTGGCTACCTGTATAGTTTTCATGTTTGACACACCTCTTTTGACCTGAAGTTCTTGCAGTCTTTTGTGTGTCATTTCCTGAATCATCTGCCCAACAATGCAGATGCACAAGTCAGACTATTCCATGAAACATTACCAAAGACCTTTCTGTTTTAAAGAGAGGCTTGAGTGAGTCTTCTCTAGAACATGCAAACATTCACAAATGATATGTAAAAACTCTTTAGTACAGACAAGTAACAAGAAGCACAGTAACAACAGGTTGTGGGGACCTTAAACACAGCAAACATTAACAAAAATAATTAAAATCTTAATAAGGATGCCCTCGGTAACAGTGAGTGTAGGGGCAATAGCCTAGCACAGAATCTATCAGCGTCACATTGATGGGAACTGTCATGTGTGGGGTGACACCATAACTTAACAAGGCTCTTGACATCTTCAGATTTGATGTGATGGAAATTTGAGTGTGAGAAAATTTAGCCTGCAAATGTAGACATTTTGCAGAAGAATAAGCATTTATTTGCCAGTATGAACTAACATAATTATTTAATTGACAGTGAAATTTAAAACTGCCTGGACACACCACATAACAGCCAATGCTGGGGTTTGTTTGCAGTTCTGAAAAGAATATGTAACTAATCCACAGCAAAATGGCTGCCTACAAAACTGTCATTCTATGTAGATAGAATATAAAACATCTTATACAAAAACTACATGTGCTGGATAAGATAGCTTATGGCAGTGGAAATGAAAAAGTTGCATTCCTTTCAATAATATGATAAGACTAAAATCACTTGTGTTTGCACATATATAACAAGCATATTCTGAAACAGTCTTACCATACTATGATTGCTCATGAAGTCTGTGTTCAGTGCCAAACCTTAAAAACTTTCCACGTATATTATCTAGCTTTCACAACCTTGCTGAACAATTGAATTATATGAACAGGAGAATCTGCTCTATGTGATTTTAATTTGGTAATCTATCTATAGTCCCATAACACTGTGTGTCATTGAGTAACCAAGTTACTTTGACTTTTTGATCAGGTCTTCCCATTTCTGGCAATCGGATGCACTGACCTTGGTCTTTTTGTACTTGAGGCTCATCCAGTCAGCCAGAGTTTTGAATCAAGTGTTTCATGGTTCACCTTGCCCTCTCCTCCCTAGTACCAAGTTCTGTGGCACGATTTTAGAAATATCAGTAGATTCTTTCGCATCACCATTTGCCTTTTGTGTCTTTTTTAAAAACTGGTTACTAGGACTTTTAAAAAAAAAATGTTCTCAACTTCATGAGAAAAAACAAAAAAACTAGTTTCCCTCATATATTCAGTTTTTCAAACAAATGCTTATTGTACTGTTCACATGTAATATAAATATCTAAGTTACTGAAATGTGAAAATACATGAGACGTAATGGACACCCTGCCTCAAACAGTAACACAAATGCATGTTAAAACTGATGTTTTCTTTCACATCCAAAACATCACTAGGAGACTGATTAATGGAACAAATGCAAAAACAATAGCTGCAACAAAATAAGGCAACTTATATTCAACTCTGGCATTAGAGATACACAAAAGTAATGAATGTTTATTTCAGGCAAGCTAAAAAATGTACACATACTAAACAGGTTTTAATTTGTGGATCGTTTTTCACCTTGGCTTTACTAACCTCCTGAATCATCTGTCTTCTTTTACCACAGATTGTAGGCAATAAAGAGCAGGCAGGTTTAAACCCTGGCCATAAACATATATAAATACTGTATTAACTTGCCATCTAACATCAATGTGACATCTATATGAGGAGCCTAACTTGGATACTCATGGTAGCAGGTAGTCTTACAGCAGCTCAGTTATGCAAAAGATATATACGGTAGTGGTCACCATGAGAGCCATCTCAATAACATTACGGGCCCCTGGGAAAACCATAGCACTGGGGCCCCTATGATAACCACTCTTAGGAATGAAATCTGTTATGGCAAATCACTTGGCATACACATATTTTCATGGGGCTCATGCGTTAAGAGGGTACTGTTCTGCAAAACCTATTTACTGATTTAAACCTGTACTTCATTACCATAACTATCTGCAAAAGGGTAGGCAACTTCTGGGTAACTGATGGGAAGAATTTTAAATAACACCATTAAAATCAGTTTACAAGAAACTGTCTTAAATTTTCCATAAAACAGAAAGAGTTAGGCATGCCATGCAAACAATAATTGAAGGAAAAAACTAATAATTTACACTATGAAATCAATCTTTTTGTTAAGAATTTTCTTATTGTTAAGAATTTGTCCTTTAATTATATCAATTTAAGAGGTGGGGTGGTTTGGAATTCGCATCCAGCTCCTGCAGACCTGGTTCATTTCATGGTCTAAACTACATTTTATACAACACAAACAGAAAACATACTTCTCCCTGATCCTGGGATAGATCAGATGTCGAGTCTTCTCAAACAAGGATTAAACAAAATCCCTTGATAGTTGTGCAGAAAAGCAAGAGGTCACTTCCCAGGATAAATTTCAATTTAGAAAAACCTACCCATACACATATAAAAATGAATATAGCATGTGTAACTGGTGACTTTTGGAATTGTTTCTGCACTGATGGTCGTGTTCCTCCTTACCTGCACTGGACACCAGGTTACATTTGGCTGGAAACATATACTCTCCCATATTCAATATCTTTGTGTTACAATATTTATTTATTTTCTTATCTTTTTATTTACCCCTTGTAGTTTTATATTCTTTAGAACTAACATTTCAAGGATAAGAATCAAACACACAGTGAAAAACTATTCAACCATATAACACAATATAGTTATATTGGGGCACTCAATGGTTGCAATGTAACTTGTAGTCCAATGCTGGTGGCAGTTATATTGGGGCACCCAATGGTTGTAAAGTTACATGTAGTCCAACGCTGATGGTAGTTGTATTGGGGCACCCAATTTTTGCAATGTAACTTGTAGTCCAATGCTGGTGGTAGTTATATGGGGGCACCCAATGGTTACAAAGTTACTTTCAGTCCAATGCTGGTGGGTGCTAGGTGTCTGCAGTATTTCTTTCCTGCCTCATGACTGATGACCTCAGAATAATTATCTCTGTTGTCTCATCATTTTACTCAGCTGTTCCGGATAATTATTTTTTGGCATTGTTCAAACTTATAAATAAATTGTCCACAAATTATTCCATTTCTCTTTTACGTATCTGATGGAAAATTTTAAACAAGCCGACCCAAATATTAACAATGTCTGTGCCGTCTCCACAATGAAAGTTGGCTAGTGTGCCAGTGTCGTCTTTGGGCATATAATGTGGCAAGGCCCTAATCTCTTCCACATCACAATCTCTCGTAACCATTATCCTAAAACTACCAGAAGGTTTTTTTTAACAATTAAACCATCTACCGTAAGGAAGGAAGGCTTGTGCTTGAGGATCATGAAACTGTTAACCGCATTTGCTAACCTCTATGCCCCTGAGCCAAACCCTAATAATAACATGCTCACAAACCACACATCTTATACTGAACAACAATTATGAAATATGACTTTTAAGACCCAAAACGAAAGGTATGGACTTAGTCAGGATGTTTGTGACTTCACAAAAAAACAAAATTAGCAGACTACATTAAACAAATAGGAATATCTATTTTCTAATTTGCCGCTGCTGCCGCTGCTGTTGGTGTTGCTGCTGTTGTTGTTGTTGCTGAAGATGATGATGATGCTGATAACGAAGATGAACAGGATGGCACTGCAGACTCACTGTTGGTTTTTCCAACAACAGCATTTTCCTTTCCTTCACCATCCTCAAAGTCTGGCATCTTCTTTGCTCTGCGATTTCTCTTGCTGGCTTTCTGTGGCTCATTCTGTGGATTCACAGAATGCTTGCCACTGTCCTGCTGCGCTTTCTTGGCAGAGCGCTGGTGCCGCGTGTTTTGGGCCACAGCACTGACATGGGGAAACAGTTTGGTAATGTTCCCAACAGCTTTTGTTCTACCCTCCCTGAATACCATCCTCATGTCCGTTTTTAAATACTCTGGATTTTTAATAAAACGGAACCTCACTATGGCTTTGTCTCCTGTCCGGAGATGCTCTTGGGTCATGCTTATAATGGTTGCTGTCTGTCGTACACTTCCCACATGCACTGCAAAATGATTGGAGATGTCAAAAACTATTATATAAGGTATTTTAGAAAATCAAAGCAATGTTTTCCTGTTATGAATTTGAACAAAGAAGACACATTTTGATAGATTGCACATGGCTTTCGCTGTATCTTGTGAGCATACCTCAAACAACTGCAGAATGCATCGCTTTATGGAAGCCCTGATAATAAACAGGTTCGGTCTAGAATTATGCAGACGAATGGAAATGGTTGTGAACCTGTGTCTGCCCTGGTGAAACAGGTAGTTACTTTTGAATGTAGTCGATTTTGTGCTTCACTTAGGAAGATTTATTTTATCTGCTCAATTTTATTAAATTGTTGCTGTTCTCTGTACCTGACGAGATACAACAAAATAAGTCAGGCAACAAACTGTGCAATCCACTGTTTGCGTCTTCTTTGTTCAAATACAATACACTGAATTTAAAAAAGGATAAAAATTTACTGCCTGCAATAAAATGTTGTATTTTATCAGTGTATTACTGTACTGTGATGCATTACTGTACTGACTATGTGGTTAACCATAGTTGTCCATTCGTGGGATGCCCAGTGTAACAAGAGACCACGTGATCAGTGCTTTCTTAACGTACAGGCCCACTGGGCACTTGCCCAGGGATCCCACCAGCATAAGAGCTCCTTGCTGATCTGGGTGTTCAAGCGACTTTCCATAAATACACAATTTCATTCCTGTGAATGCTTACTGCAGGAGCCCAGCACACTGGTTTTTCTAAGTGTCCATAATGCTGTTTAAATGGCTGTGAGTGTGATTTATGTATTTCAGGTGAAAGGATTCATGTTTTATGCTTTATCAAGTGTCCATGTAAAGTCTCTAGTAATGCACTGACACAGCAAAATAATACAGTAAAATAAGCTAGGCAATAAATTGTGCAACATACTGTTTGTGAACATTTTTAAATTCACAATGAGAAAACAGTCTCAAATAACTGCATCCATAAAGCAAACAAGAACTGTTTAACAATAACACAAATTTCCCAGAGTGTTGGGTTGACAACATCTATGACAAAGAAATACTTTAAACCTGTCAAGAAAGCTACTTTACATCTTTCCGTTCATATTGCTGGCACTATGGCAAAGTCACTAAGCACTAAATCTGTGTTTCAAGAAAATCAAACTTAAAACATTTCACTTAAAATGAAAACTGTGTAGCTGTGTGAAAAGTAATCCTTTAATTGTATCTATCCGGAGTAGGAATTCATACAGTGAAGTCGCAATAGTGTAAAGAGACAGATAACAATCCTGAAAGTTCACTTAGGTGAACATTGTCAAATCTGCATCTAGCTGACCTTGGCGTAGTGCCAACATATTATGTTCTGTGCTGAAACATGATCTGGTTATATGTTACTGTGCCCATGTGCTGCTGTGAAATTCCAATCCTGGTGTTGCACAACCATCTGGTTTCTGGGCTTGGAATGGGAAATAACAGCCTAACAATTCCTGCTGAGTTGGTACTTCGGTACTAGGTCAGAGAGAAGTCTCTACATCAAGTCTACTTAAGCTGTCCCAAGCAGAAAACATGGCCAGCGGTGACCTAGCAAGTCGTCTGTGGATCATTGCCAATTGTACTGTATTTGTGATATTTTTATGCTGGAGCTCTGACCTCTGATGATCCTTAATTTCACAGTTCTGCCCCTCTCCCCTCCCTCAGTAAACTTAGTTGAATAGCCCTGCTATATATCAACCTAACTCCCACTGATGCAAGCTTTGTCTTTCAGGACCTAGATGACCTGAATTATATCTCTTATCAAGAGACATTTATTATAAATATTTGCAGCTGCAGCTGCATACAGCATGAAATCAGCTTAACTACTGACAGTTTACTCTGACCTGATGAGTGCATCTATTACACAGAACTTGTTATGAATTAGTTGGATTAGCCACCAGGAAATGAAAAAACAGGGAAGACCTGTGCCTTCCATACAACTTACTTCTCTTCTTCGTCCTTACAATGTATGCTGTAAGGTGTCGCAGAGAGGAGATAATGCAGTTTCCTGTCTTTTCCCAGTTGCGTAGCTTGTGGGTCTATTGACTTGTAGCCTGCTGTTCTCATGAAGAGTCACTCTAGTTGCTGGCTGATTTTGTTAAATTCTGACCAGATGACCAAACCATGTGATTTTTTGATGTTCTAAATCATTTACCAGTGCTGTGCCTATCACTGTTCTTAGTTCTTCACTGGTGACTGTCTTTTACTGTTTTCACCATGCCGCATTTCATATACAACTTATTCCCACATGATATTCCTCCACAATTTGTCTTTCTAGCTCTCGAATGTTTCTGTGTTCTCATAATTATTTAAGTAAAGTTAGAATTAAGTAAAGCACTACCACTTCTCATAAATATTGAAGTACAATCAGAATTGAGTAAAGCACTAAAAACTCACATAATTATTGAAGTACAATGAGAAATGAGTAAAGCATTAACACCTCTCATAACTTAACTTACCCATTGCCTGATATTTGACACTGATTGTGGTTGGATGATGCAGCACAAGGATTTCCCCCTCAAACTCCCAGCAGGCCTTTGGCTCAATTTTAGATGAAACCATAACCATACCTTTCCGAATTGAAGCTCGCTTGATCTGGGAAATAAAACATAAGTGTGCTGTGATGTGAACAGTATTGTGCAAAGGACCCGTTACATGATCATCTCAATCAGCAACACTTGGAGAAAAAAAAACTTCTTCATCTTCACATTCAGAACCCTTGAGCCTGCAAATACCACACCGCTATTCATCACTGTGACTGCCGTTCTCTTTCCAGTTGGTGACTTAAAGTTTTGCAAGTTTGTCTGTTTATTATCTCTCCACCGTCTTCTTGATCTGTCTTATGGCCTACTTTCACTCAACTCTTTATTGCAGGGCTATTAAACTAAGTTTAATCAGTGGCCAAAATTTTGATAATGCATCCTCCTGAGTAAGAGACCTGAGCCCCAGCGTAGAAAGATCATTATATGAACCTCACTGGCTATCACAGCCAATACAAAAGATTTTTTTTTAAAGGGTGAATGACCCTTGTCAAAACCCTGTATTAAATATATAGTGTTGATTGCATATCTGTTTAGACCACTCAACACTCAAACGGTGATAAGGTCAATTTTGCACCAGGTTCCTGGTAATATTTTACGGCTTCCCCGTGTGGGTTTTGGTGCCCCATTGGGGGGGGGGGGGGGGGATAGACCCCTAACCTTACCAACAAACATGCAGTAAAAAGGTGACTTATTAGGGTTTGCTGAAATCAGATGTGTTCGGCGAAAATGTGCAGATATCACAGCCTATCTGTAAACTACAACACAACATTCCAATCGCCCTTTTAAGAGTGACTGCAAAAGATTTTAGGCTGGGGTCCAAATCACATTTTTTTTAAATCATAAAACGAATTAGGATCTGAACACATGACAACAGGCCCGAGCGTAGATAAAGTTAGGAAATTAGGGCACATGATGACTTTTGTTAATAGGTGTAATTCTAGAGGCAACTTCTTCTTATAGTCTATGCTGTGTGGCATTGGTAGTCATGTCTATCCCTAACCTTCTGCCTCGTGTTCTTTCAATCAATTCTGACACAGATGATCTTCCATGCCATGATGTCAAACTGTCCAGCATCTTCTCTCTCTGTCAGATCTTGATAAGTAAGTAAGGAAAAAATGATCACAGATGTAGAAGAAGATAGAGAATGACATCAAACTTGATGCATCTTGGATAATCAAATGTAAAGTAAGATGTGTTACCACAGAACAGATAGAGAAATGCAAGCTAATCATTCTCTTTATGATGAATTATTAATTTCCACAGCACAGACAAGACAAATGGACTGAGGATGTCCAAGAGAAACCCTAAAACTGTTGGTTGTTGATGACAGGGGCCAAAGGTGCCTCACTGAATTATATCCTGGAATTATATGCACTGGAGGAAATGGAACAGATGAACACAACTGCAAGCCCTCTGTGGTGACACAAGGACAAGATGATAGTCACCTACCACTGTGACACAAGAACAACCTCTTGCCACAAAAAAATAACCTACCTTCTTCAGAGAAAATGACGCTGTCTGCCCACCTTTGACCACTCTCACCGGCATTCGTTTTCGGTGAATACTTTTGATGGGCACCGGCTGGAACTGACCAAGGGCATCAGGTCCAAGTAATAACGTGTCGTTGAGCTTGATCTGCCCTTGTAACAATGTTCCCGACACAACGGTGCCCACACCCTGAACAAGTAAATTTTAAAAAAGTTAGGGACCCTTCATCAGGTAAATGATGCTTGACTCATATTTCTGTAGATGAATCGGCACTCAATGGGTGATGTGGTCAACATCGTGCAGGCCGTATATCCTAGAATCTTTTCTAGGCTAGGAGCAAAGGTAATTTTTTTGTTTATAAATCCGACTAGATGTGGATTCAAACACAAGACTTTTGGGCCAGCTGGCGACAGTCTAGCCACAAAGTCACATATGCTCACACACCCTGAACAAGCACAACAGAAACACAAAATGAACTGCAGAGCTGCTAAGGCTGGTCCAGTGAAAGGTATCAACTTGACTGCTACCAGCTAACCTCTTTCCTGTTACCGGCTAACCAAATATGAGCACACCAAAGTGCCTTCTTTCCTGCCACTGGCACATCAGGCAGATGGGTGTTAACCCCATATTTGTAAAGACCCATCAGCAGTCAATGGCTGATGTGGTGAAAAACCATGCCAGCAATTTTTAGTTCTTATGACAATTCCGAGAACCCACTTTAGACTGAATCAAAATGGGAGCCCAGGTTAACTATAAACCTCCTCTTTGTGGATTCAACCTCAGGAATCGAGGACTTGGCTTCCACAAAAGTATATACATATGAATGAAAGTCGCAAAAATTATAAAACTGCTAGTTACCAAAGAATGTGTAATATATATAAGCTGCATCATTAAATAATGTATATCTGGAACACTGGACACATTCTATTTGATTTAAATATCAAATCATTAACTATTTTGATAATTTGAACACCATTACTTTAAAAAAAAAAAAAACTTGTTATTAGTGGAGATTTTATGCAAAGCAGAGAGGTAGCTAACCTCGTCATATCAGTGATAAAGTTTGATCATTTTGCACGTGCAAGCGCTAGCAGGTAACAGTTACACTGGAGAAGGTATCCTGTGGCATTTTCTGCCTGATCGCTTGGCTGTTGGGAGTATGCATGCGCAGTTGGTATTGTAGAACTAGTAACTGGTAGCTTTCACATGTCACAGACCCCTGTGTGGGTTCCGGGGCCCCATTGTGGGGAAAACAAGAATAGACCCACTGCCTCCCCAAAAGCATGTCGTAAAAGTCGACTAATTGGGGAGCTTCCTTTGAAGTATGAGTGCATCTGCCGGAGAGGCAAGGAACCAACAGTCTGTATTCAAAAGAATGAGATCTGTAAAACTGATGCACAGGCAACACTCAGGTTCTGGAGCAGGACTGCAGTTCAGTAGTGGACGAGCAACCAGAACTTTCCGCCAGTGTACAGCTGGTAAACACAAAGAAGAAAAAGACATGTCACAGTACTGTAAGCATGCAGCGAGTGTTCTTTTCCTATATTAATACTTTTAACCAGCTTTATGAGCTCAGGGTGACGTAAACCAAGTGACATATATGTAATAAATAGTAATCAGTAATAATAAATAGTAAAATATTGCATTTTTATTTTGCAAATGAAAGTGTAAGTGGCATTACCACCGCTACACGTACACTTCACCACTGCACCATATTAAGCCATGCTCATGTGTAAATAGGTGTAATTAGAGTGCACTCACCATCAACACAGCGGTGAGGGGTTGAATTACATGCTTTTTGGTCTACCTACAATTATAAAATTAGTACTCCAATCATCAAATCATTGAGCTTGATTCTTCTTCTTCTTCTTCCTCCTTTTTACCGCTGTTGGTGTCGAGGGAGATATAAGGTTCTGTTTCTGGCTCTTCTGGCCGCCTCGACCATAGGCACATCGAGCTGTTGTAGAGCTTCTCTCTTGCAAAATGGGTACTCCGACCAGCAAAGCTCTGAGGTCAATGATTTACCCTTGTAAAATGGAAACTCTGACTAGTTGAGCTTTGGGGTCCGCCCACACTAATCTCCCGACCAAACATCCTTTTCAAATGATACTACAGGTAAGAATGGCCTTTAGCAAGAGCTAAAAGATTCTCACCAATTAGAAGATGTCAACTGTGTAAGAAAATGGACAAAAACCAGACAAGCAAACAAAACAAAACAGAAAATCTTCCAGCAAAAATGTGGTTTTTGACAAGAATATAAATGATATTATGGAATAACAGAAAAACAAATGAGGCTGTCCTTATGAGATAGATGACAACTGGAAACTGATTAGAAAAATTAGATGTAGACAGTGTTTTTGGACACGTTAAGAACTGCCTTGAGAACTTTGTTAAAATGGATTAGAGAAAGATGTTGACAGGGTTTTAGGACACATTATGTGAAAGAATGAATCTGAGAACTTTACTACATCTGGAAAGTGATTAGAGAAATTAGATGTAGACAGTGTTTTGGACATTTTATGTGAAAGAACTGACCTGTGAACTTATTACAACTGGGAAAAAAAACTGATGAACGAACCAACAAACTTTATTTTCAAACGGTTACAAACTGGGCACACAAGTCCATCTTACATTCGGTTGTAAAAAGTCCTTCCTAAGCGAGGATTCGAAATGTGTATGAGACTGCTGGAAGAATATCTAGTTGTCTGTTGCATTCAACTTCCTATCACTTAATTTACTAGCGGGTTGATGAAATCATGCATTTAAAATCCACACATGTGGAAAATGTGTCAGCAAACCGAGGCCAGAAGCAAATAACAGTCCAAGGTTTCAATGGCCAACCCACCTATCCACTACACTGGGCAAAATTGGAGACAATAAAATACTTACAGGTACAGAAAATGTATCATCTATCTGAAACTCTGCCGGCTCAGAAGCGTCACACCTGACTCTGGTAGACAGCAGGTTTAGAAACATCTTTAGTAGGTCCAGATTCTCTCCTGTGACATTTGAAACTTGGAACACTGGACACATTCTGATTTGATATAATTATATCATTAACATGAACTCATCTGAAAATTGGAACTCTGGTTTAGTAAAATGTCAGTATCAAAAAAACTTTTTTGTACGCTGTACAATGACTATTCTTGAGTGTGTTTGATGTGTGTTTAAAAAAAAAAAAAAATTCAGACCCAATCATTTCACCTTGCTGTCAAAAGTTACTCTATACATTATAGGTTAATCTAAATATTATACATTATTATCAGCTACTTTAAATATAAAAGTTATTTTTCATTACTATACTTATTGTTCACTCTTTTAGTCCCAGGGGGTTTAGCATCACAGGCCCAGGGGGTAGTAAAGAAAGTAATAAAATTGGCGCATCATGCGTTCATGGGCTTCTAGGTAGGAACTCAAAGGGACTCAAAGAGTTAATAAAGTACTGCCTGCTACATGTGGTGAAAATGCATCCTCAATTTAACAGGTTTTTTTTTTTAAAGCAGCCCTTTTGTACTTCGGAATCTAAAGCAGAGAATGAACAAAATAAATGCTAGTTGCACCCATGAGATCTATGGTCTTCTGGTGGGTTATCATCTTCAGAGGTTATGCTGATAACCTAACTGAGTAAATGGTGGTAGTCCCATGTTTTTATACAGACAAGTACTTAGTGCCCAGCAAGATCTCCACATGATGTGGTCCATATCATGCTTTTTTAGGCTTACCTAAAAGCCCAGGTCAACGAAAAAATTTCCTTTCTTAAAGGGAATATGTAAATATGAACACCAGGTTGGAAAGTAACCAGTATCATGATTTAACTGGCGTATATGACGAATAATCATCATAATCAATTTCCACTTCTACTGTTAAGCGTTGAGGGGAGGAACAGTTTGCGATCCATTGCTTGATGGGCAGCAATGGATATTGTCATTCTGTCGAGGTAGAAGCTCTGTAATGTCATCAATCCATGTTCTCCTAGGGCGGCCTCTTGCTCTCACTTCAGATCTTTTCAGGTGGACCACCTGCACTGGTTGTTGTTATGGCTGCATTCTTACTAAGTGACCAAACTCTGTATCAGTGGTTCCCTATTAAATTAGAAAAGACCTAAGGACCCTTCTCATTTTCAAAGGTCTACCAAGGACTCCATACTCTGAAAAACTAACTATAAACATTATGGCAAAAAGGACTACATTATTAGATTCTAAGATTGAGGGTATTTTGTAAAAAAAAAAATATCAAGAGTCCCCGTCAAATATGTTCTCTGGTCCCTCGTGAGTCTGCAGACTACCGAATGGAAAACAATATTAGATGTTGCAAATTGTCATTGTTCATTACCTCTCCGAAGTAAAATTTGTTGCTGTGACAACCACATCATCTGTATTTTGTACTAAGACCGGGATCTTCCGACATCCTGGAGACTTAAGGATCCTGGTCAAGAGCTTCAGGGTCTCCTGCAGGACATTGGGTGGACACATATCGATCTTTGTGACGACAACAAACACTGGGACATTCAGAGCCAGGGCCAGACCTAAGTGCTCTTTGGTCATTCCTATGACACCTGCATTAGCTCCAATCTGTGGGCAGCAGAAGATAATCACTGAACATCTAGACAATATTTCTGACAAATAATACCATGATAAATCTGCAAATATTGTAAGTGTTCTTCCGCATTTGCCCTTTAGAAGGTATTGGACACTTCTTGTGGTTTACAGTTAGGCTGAAATATCTGCAACTTTCATCCCAACACATTTGATTTCAGCAAATTCTTAATTAGCTGCTTTTTACATGCTTGTAAGGGTGCAGTAAATCTGTTCTTTTTCTTCCAAACAGGGTCTCAAAATCCATAAGTGAAGTAAGTTCAATAATTTTATTTTCAGACAAAAGTACACTGTGTAATAGGGACATACGGGAACTACTAGCAATGGTGAAGATAAATTATGTTTAGCAAATAAGCTGCGGTGGATTTTTGTCAAATGACCTTAGTCACAGGTCACCCAGGCTAAAAATGGGTTACCAGGTATAATGTCCTGAGAAGTTAAATCAGGCAGAATGATGTTAACCACATCATTTATTAAGTGCTGATGGTTCTATAAAAATATGAATCTAACACCAATGCTCAATGCCATAAATAGGGTCTAATACTTTTTTTTTAAAGATTCATGGCCTTTGATGCCATCACATCCTCTTGTGTTTCTTCTCAGACTGTTGGCTCTTAACCTATCTGAAATTATTTTATCCTCTGTCTTTATTCCTCTCCTTCCCCATGTGTGTTCTAATTAGGAGTTTCTTTCGAAGTCAGAGTGCATCTGCCTGAGAGGCAAGGAACCAACAGTCTGCGTTCAAAAAAAAAAAAGCAGATCTGTGAAATGGATGTGCATGCAAAACTCAAGTTCTAGAACAAGACTAAAGTCCAGAAGTGGATGAACAACCAGAACTTTCTTCCTGAGTTTACAGCTGGTTAATTACGATGAAGAAGAAAGACTTTCTCTCTTGATCTTTCCTCACGATTGAATGCTGTCAACAATAATCTAATCTTCTGATAAAATTTTAATGCTGGGATTATTCAAAATACGAGCTGTATGTTCTATAAGCAAAATTTTCTAGATCACAGCTTTAACCTTTTTTTTGTTGTTGTTGACACACTTTTTAGACATACATAAATTCACAACACAGTCATTCAGTCTGCTAGCAAACCAAAGGTTAAACTAACCCATAATACAGAGACATTTAAGCTTACTTTCAAGTGACACTTTCGCACTGCAGTGGACACACTAATTTTTCATGAAACAGAATTCTGGAAATCTCTGCATTAGATCCTCTACTGGTCACAAAATCTCTGAAGCACAGAGATGTGAAACTTACCATCAGCATAGCAAAATCTGGTGCATGTCCGGTCATACCAAAAACGGTTGTCTTCAAGTACCTCTCATGTCCGGCCAAATCAATGAATGTAACAACCTGAACAATACAAGAACAATAAGCAATACACACAAAAAATGTAAAACCGTTTTCATGCCAGCAAGAGCAAGATACAAAAACCATATTTTAAAACTAATCAGCTCTTAATAGGTGATGTGGACAGTATAATGTTGGCCATTTAGACTTTCCTGGAAATTCCCTGACGCTCATTTTAGGCTGCACTGACATTATAGCACATGATAAATAAAACAACATATCTGTGTGGGCTTAGAGGCTCCATTCTGGGGGACAAAAGAGCAGACCTACTGCTCCCTCCCCCCCCCCAATAAGCATGTCCTAAAAGGCAACTAATCAGAAGTGTTTCCATCAAAGTCTGAGTGCATCTGCTTGACAGACAAGGAACAAACAGTCAACAATCAAATAAGCCAGATTTATTAAATGAATGTACATGCAAAACTTAAGTTCTAGAACAAGACTTAAGTCCAGAAGTGGACAAACAACCAGAACTTTCTGCTGGAATTTACAGCCTGTGAATGTTAAGAAAAAAGAGAATTTAAAATAAAATGGCCACTTCAAAGGAAATTCAATCACATAACGACCAGGCGTACAAGTCACAGTGCTACAACAGTTCTCTAAGATGAGTAAATATCCAGAAAATAAATTTACACCGTCATATTGTGTGCGGTGCCGTAACCAGGATAATCAATAAATGAGGTGCCATCACCACACTAAAAGTTGGCTGTAATAAATCTCCAACTTTGTCTTTTGCCCTGACTGTATGCTCTCTTGGGTTCTGGGGACCCACTGTTTTTAATGAAGTTGCAGTGCATCTGCCTGAGAGGTGAGGAACAAACAGTCTGCTTACAAATAAGCCAGATCTGGGCTCTCCTCTGAACTTCTACCCCCGCAGTATTGCGGCCTGAAATATCCGTTCTGGGCGCAGTCCAATTTAAAAAGTGCCGGCTCCGTATAATGAAACAAATGCTCTAACAGGGTCTTAGCAATATGTTACTTGCGGACCTGTGTCTTATTGTTTCTGATTACCTGACAATTCTAAGAGACGCACGCAACACTGCAGACGATAGTAGCAGACGATAATAGCGACCATTGACACTTTTCATTGTCAAACTTTTTGCCGACGAACAAATTACACAAATCTAGGATCGGTTCGGAAAAACGAAACAAATGCTCTAACAGGGTCTCAGCGATATGTTTCTTGCGGACCTGTTTCTGTGACTATGCCTCACCGTCGAACGTATCCCCCACGCCCTACGCGCGGCACGGATGGGGGCTAAACTAGATGGCTGAAATTCATGAGCGGAAGCTACCGCATCTCCTGCAACTTCCTCCAATTACTTTGCTCGTGAGTTCCAGGCACCTAGTTTAGCTCCCCATCCGCACCGCACATAGCGGGGGATACGCTCGGCGGTGAGTTTAATCGCGTTTTGTGCATGCCGACAAGTCTGACATCTACCGCTGCTATCGTAAGAACAGTATTGCTAATCTGCGTGGGAGCCCGTGGTCTACCCGCCATATCACTTTCATCGTCTGTAATGTCTCGAAATTGTCAATGGTCGTTTTTATCGTCTGCAAAAAACGCTCGACATTGTCACCGGTCGCTTTTATCGTCTGCTACTATCGTCTGCAATGTTGCGTCTCATGACATTGTGAGGTACTCCTAGTTTTGCCGCCATTTGTTCCTCGGCCGGAACTCTGACAAGTCCGTATTTTTAATTGGAATGCGCCCCGAACGGATATTTCAGGCCGCGGGGGTAGAAGTTCGGAGGAGAGCCCAGATCTGTAAAGCAGATGTGAAAAAAAACTCAAGTTATGGAAAAAACTAAAGCAGAGAAATTGACGAATAACCAGAACTTTCCATCTGGGTTTGGAGTCGGTGAATGCAAAGAAGAAGTGTGCTCTCTTCTGTCTGCCGCTGGCCCTTTTTTTATGTTTTCCTCCTACTTATATAATTTTTTTTTCCTTTTGTATACCAAACTTCAACTCCCCCTACCCCTGTATGGTTTTTTTTATAAGAATGTGATGTCTTTTAAGGCCACTTGCCTCTTTTTTATTTCTTTGAAACATTAAATTTTCTTTCCTAATCGCTCTTCTCTTTCTTCTGCACTCACCCTTAAAAGGGCGGCACCTTTTCGGCCTAACAAATCTCTAATAAGTCGTCTTTTACAAAATGCTTGTTGGTGACAGTGGGCTTTTATTTTTATTTTTCCTCCTCAAAATGAGGCCCTGGAAACCTCCAAGGGGTCCCAGTCTTTCAAAAACCTTTTTATATTTATTTAGTTCCCAGAAAAAAATTACCTATTCTTATGTATGGTTCATGGTTTATATAATGGATCAACATCATGGCACAAGGGTAGTAACCCATAAGTGCTCCGTTCTACTTCTAATTCAAGTCTGAGTCCAAAGAAGCTCAGCACAGTGCACAAACTCTGTAGCACCAACGAGGATCCTGAAATACTTTGGGTAGATTTTTAACTCCAAATTTTGCCTGAGCAGTGCAGTTAGGCAACTTTTTTTTTCGATTTCCAACTGCCAAGGGATTTGTTTACATGCACAGAAACACATATGGGCGACCAATCTTACTACCTAAAGACCAGGGAAAAATGACTAGAAGTCCACATGAAAAAAATCCTAGCCTTCACCGAGGCCTGAACCCAGGACCTCTAGCACTCGAGGCGAACGCCATGCTCAAGACTACTCCGCCCACAACCCTATTCTTCTTGTATATCCATATCATCATGACTTTAATTCAATAATTTAAAATAAATAAAACAAAACTGGTTTTTAAAAAAATTTGCAAAATTGAGTTAGGAAAAAAAAACAATTGAGAACAAGATACACTCACTTTGGCTGCTTCTTCACAAATTTTTATCCAGTCCAGATGTCCATGCTCAGGTTTATTAACAACACCGCCTGAAGCATCAAAACCAAGGATGTCATTGCCAACACTACTTGTCCGTCCAGACTCCATTTCATGTTTGTGTCGAAATAATTTCTGTCTGGCCATTCCCCTTCCATTATCCAAATCTCCATGCGTTAGGACACCAAGTAATGTGCTTTTACCAGCATCCACATTTCCAACTACCGCTACTCTGTAAAAGAAGATCAAACGGAAATGGAAAACAAAAAGCACATCAATTTGAAAAAAATAATTTTTCAAAAGATAATGAAGTGTTACTTGAAGTAATTTAAAGAAAAAAATATTCTCCAAGCAATTAGAAAGGTAAAGAATGACAAATTAGGCATTTGCCATGCAACATTCTTGACTGACAGAGACAGACCTGCATTCTTCAACTCCTGACAGACAACAGTCGGTAGAAAAAACATATACATAGGTTTGTCCAAGAAGACTGTGGAGAGACAATAGACAGGCAGACCTACAGAGTCACCAGCTGGGAAAAAAGACCAATCACAGAGACAAATGAAGGCAGGTGATATCTGCAGCCATGAATGCTGCAATTCTTGTATGCCTGTCCACATGTCTCCAATCTTGAATATTCTATAAATATGACTGCAGATTACAGTTTGCAATCTAAACACTACAATAGTCCGCTGTCTGCATGTGAGGAGCAGGGTCGCCGCAGCCTGGGTGCTCAGGTCACTTAAACCCCCTTCTCTCCCCTAATAATGTTTAAGGAGGCTAATTAGCCCACTTTAACAATAAATTCTTCAAAAGTATTCGTTCATACAATTCATTTTTTTTTAGGTCAAATGTATTATATGTATTTACTATGCTATATTATTATTATGCTTTTAAACTATGACCAGGCCCCTTAAGTCCTCATTTGCCTAAAAAATATGTATGCCGCCGAAGTAGCTCTGAGTCCTCCTCTCTAATCTCTGTGTGACTATGATGAGACTGACTGTGTCTTTGAGATTATGTTCTGATGGGAAGTGTCCAATGGGAAACAGTAGGAGCTGTAGTAATGCAATGACTATCATGCTGCCCCACAAGCCCAGTGGTTAGAGTTGTAAAACCTTCATCAAGGAAGTAGTTTTTTAAAAAACTGGCCCAGCTACCTATCTGACCTCGCCAAAATGGTTAAAAGAATATTGGTAAAAGACCTAATACATCATCCACGGAGTGTCAATAGCTCTATAATAATATAAGCTTACTTACCATTGTATGTCAAATCCACTTCAAAGGATGAAATGGAACCTTTTTACCTTGAAAATGTTACTTTTTTTAAAAGAGGTGCTGGCATATTGTGTTGTGGCCTTTGGGCCCTATACATCTGATTTTAGCAAACCCTAATTAGTCGCCATTTATGACATAGTGGGTTTATTCTTTTTCTTCCAAAATGGGCGCCTGAAACACATATGTGGAGTGACAAATTTAAAAATGCACATGCTTGCAACTTCTCCATTACTAACCTGACTTCCATAAAATCCTCAGACTGTAACCTTTTCCGAAGTAAAAACTCTGCTGCCTTGCCTTCTTCCACAATTCTCTCCCTCAGTAAAACACATTCTAGATCCAGAGATTCGGCAATGCTGCGAAGGGTAGCCACTGATGCATTAAAATCCTCCTCTTTCAAGCCAGGTATGTCACCCTCTTGAAAAATGAAAATGAGAAAAGTAAGAATACAATCACCTGTAACAAAGATCAATATTACATTTCCCTATATGAGAAGCCTAAGTAAAGTCTAGATCTTAATCATCCAAGATCAAGTGAGAAATTATACTATCAGACAGATTATAAGAATGACACCTTGCAGCACATTTATTGTAAAGCAGAAGATATTATTATTAACATTCATCAGCTATAATTTCTGGATTGAGTTGAGTAAAGAACTGACATCACAGCATTCAGGGCATTCCTCTGTCCCCATCTTCAGCAGCCAGTGAAGAGTTCTAAAACCATTCGTACCATGAGCTTCAAGTATCGGCCATATCCCCTCCTCACTCCTTGCTGTATCACTCTCAACAGCTGTGATGATTCATTTGCTCCTCTAAAGCGAAGAATCCCACTCTGCACGAAGCATGCCTGCTCTTACCTTCCTCAGCATGCTTTCTGAGCCAGTTACAATCAGTGACCGCCACCACCTCAATTCTTAAGCTAGATGTTGTGGTATCATATATTAGACTCTCCTGCTTTTGCAGGCACTTATTTTACCTCTCAACACTGAACCATCTGCATAAATAATCACATCACCGGAGCGAGTGAATTACCTGATGAATTTCCTCTTCTGTGGCACCTGCTGGCCACTCCTTGTACAATGTGACTATTACTCTACACAGGTCTGACTGTTTCGCTGGCATTCTGACCCACTCCTCTCCTCTCCTAATGGTCTCCAGAATGCAAACCTGTCTCCTCTGCCTGAGTCATCCATGACTTCCCTCATCAGCCACTGAACCTTAACTGCATCTAGCGCTTCATGCAAAAGGCGATCTGGGTCTGCAGCTACTCTGTTATGACTTCGCCTGCAGCAGCTTGAGCCTAACAGCAAGAGTTGGCAAACCAAGGAGGTATCACATACACACTAATAGGAATTCTCTAGTACATCCCAGAATGACCCGCTCTGCTGCATTTTAGGGGATTAAGGTTAGTTTTAGTCAGTGCTCACTTTACACTCTAACTCCCCTATACTATTGAGCTTTCCTAGGAATTCCCTACATAATCTCTGAGCCCCAAGATGGACTGAAACAAAAGAAAAGAACTGAAAATACATTACTCAGGACAAGCATTTGCTGTTACCAAACATAAAACGAAAAAGACAAACTGGGTCTTGTAACTCCTCCTATCCTAGCTAGTTGTATAGTAACTAGTACACTCTTCTCTGCAATTAAGACCTCAAACAAATAGGTAAACAAAAATGGTTAAAAAAAAGAAAAATTGCATTGCTAGGGTCAAAAAGTTACAGCAACTGATGCCTAGAGCATAGTAGGGTCTAATTTAAATGCATTAAGAATTTGTGTGTTTTATGTAAAATTTTTATCACTCATTTAAATGAAAATAGCATTGACAAATATATATTTGACTTAGAGCAATTTGACTTGTGACCTATTAGTCAGAATGGAGCTCTGTCGTAAGTCAAAGACACCCTGTAAAGTTGTTACTTTAAGTCTTTCTGTTAAAGACAGATGTTAGTTACTTTAACCCACTCTGTCCAAATTGCTTCTTTTCCTGTTTCTCAGCTTCAGGCATCTTACAGTATCACTTAACAATTTTTTTCTCAAAAAGAAAGTCATTACCAAGACAATATTAAACAAAGTTTGACTATGGCATGTCAATAATTGGGTTTATCACAAGAGTCAAGCTGAGCGGGACAGTGTAACCAGCTACAAAGCTGAGCTAGACTGTGCAACAAACTACAACAGCTGAGCGAGACAGTGTAACAAACTACAACAGCTGAGCGAGACAGTGTAACAAATTATAACAGCTGAGCGAAAATGAGAGGGGGAAAAAAAAGAAATCTGACCAGTACCATTAGTATTGGAACTCTGCCCTGGCTGCTGAAGAGAAGGATGGAGCACGCATGGGAATGCCCCAAGTGCTGTGATGTCAGTCTTGACACAACTCAACTCAAGAAGTCAGAAATCAAAAAATCCTACCCGATAATATTTGAAAATATGCAATCAAATCATTAAATAGCGTTTTCTAACATTTACTTCTGAGAAGCAGAACAATCCACAGGAACTAGCAAGATTCAAAGAATTCAAAATGGGAACAGAATTTGCTAATAAAATTATTATGTGTTCTGTTATCACAATCAATATCACTCAAATTCAGCACAGAATCAAATTCTAAATAATTTACAGAGACAGCAAATCAAATGGTTGGCCCACTTTGAGAGAAGGCTTTGTGACATCACAGCATACAAGCCATAGGCCAAAAGAGCAGAGCATATAGTACAAGTCAGACCAAGAACAATATGGAAAGACAACATCAGAGAAAAGCTCTACAACAGCACAATCTGTATATGGCTGAGGCAGCCAGAAGAGCAAGAAATAGAACCCTATATCTCCCTGGACACCAAAAGCGGTAAATGAAAAAAATTGAAGAAGGAGGATCAACATCACTGCACACTGGGCATTCCCATATGTGCTCAGTCCTGTGATGCAGCCCCAAAAACAAGGTACTTCCAGTGACTGTTCCCATAGGGAGCTGATTACAGCTCTTATTCTGACTTTGCCGATGGCATTGACATGCTTAACAAGGTTTCACTACCAGATTATGTAATCATGTCGGTCAGAGATTTATCTAAAATAGAACAGGCTAACACCAGAAAATTAATTTTTTATAACAGAGAATATGCTTACAGAGTGAAAAACAAAATAAACTTACCGCCTGTTCCTATTTCGTAAATTGTCTCTCCTTGTGTGTCCATGATCCTCGTCTTAATGTCTTCTTGAAGCATGTCAAAGTCCTCACTGGTAGGGCTCACAAGTGCAGTCTAATTTTGAAGGAAGAATTGAACAATGTTACAAATATATATGGTCTAGATTTGAAGGGGAAATTAGACAATGTTTCAATTATATGAGGTCTAAATAAATATGTAGAGGGAAACTGAACAGTGTCACAATCATATAAGGTCTAAATATGGAGGGGAAATTGGACAGTTACAAATATATGAGGTCTAAATATGTAATAGGAAATTAACAATGTTACACTTGTTTAAGGTCTAAATATGTCGGAGAAATAAAGCAATGTTACGGTTACATGTTAACCCAACCTGACCGCTGAACCCATTTTTCGGTAATTTCCTAATCTGCTGCTATATCTAATTTTCAGTACTTTGCCTAGTATGTGAACAAAATGCATCACCAACTAAAAATAACCAACCAATCCTGGTCAAACCTCATGGTTAGCCATTGCAAATGTCTGCCCCCATGTGTTTGAACTGACTTGTAGTCAACTGAATAATAATAAATTAACTGTGTGGTTTAACGTGAAATTCATAATCAAATGAGCGGCTGATGAACCAAGCACTTCAACAGGAAAGTGAAGTAGGTCTAGGCTTTTCAGAGTCCAACAGGTGATCAATACTTTGGTTAAATCAGACTCGAGTCAGAACTTCCTCAAGAATATGTTTCCAGTTTAAGTGACGTAGACAGTGAGATCTCGAGTGATGAGGAGAATCTTCAACCTTATAAATCTAGAGCTAGATCGATAGTAAGAGAAGGGGGAGGTGTCCCTCAAGCATCAACTTCTGGTGCTCATTTTGCAACAAGTACCGTGTGAAACAAGGCTCATCCTGAGGGTGGATTGAAACACCAAGGTAGAATATTGGCGCTAGATGAAAAGTAGACCTATTGTCTACAATGTCTCCAAGTTCCATCTTATTATAACAATTTTTCTGCATGTACGTAACATTTTTCTATTTCATGTTGGTTTTTTTCTCTTTAATGCTCTGGAGCCCAGGTATAGGGGACAGTTAATTTCTGGGCCTATGGCCTGTAGGGTTAATGTTACACCTCTCAGTGGCAATCCTAGAAACAGGTTCTTAACCAAAGGCCTGGTCAAGGTAGATAGGACTAATGTTTCCTAAGAAGTCAAGACTACATCTGCCAGAGGGCGAGCAACCAACAGTCAAACACAAATAAGCCAGACCTGTAAAATGTATGTTACATCCTGAAACAAGACTAAGGTCTATAAGTGAAAAATCAACCAGAACTTTTCAACAGAGTTCACAACTGGTGAATGTGAAGGAGAAGCAAAGAAAGATAAACATAAAACTTTAAACGCACATTACAATAAAACATACAGACTGAGGCAAAATAATGGTTAGGTACACAGTGCTGAGATAGATACAAAGCATAGAAAAGTTTGACGACTAAACTTTAAAGACAACTGGAGATCAACAAGTAACCCATGCCCTGTTTTCTACACAAGGGTACTCACCTTTGAGGTCAGTCTTGACATTTCTACATCATTATGGTCAGGATCAAAGAGACCACCTCCATTCTCTAGCTCTGGTGTCAGGTCCTTCTCAATGTCCATCAAGGCTGCCATTTTTATGAAGTCTAGTACAGTGTGAAATTTCCTTGCTCGCTTTTTTTTTCTTGATCAGTTGATTCACTCAGGTTGTTTACAACATCAAGAAGTTTCAGAATAATTTGATGAAAAGTGCCAAGTTCTCACAGAACCATTTTATAGTCAGCCACTTGGACAATCTCACATTTTTGACACCAAGAGTGTGTGGTGGCACTTGATCCTATTAAAAAAAAAAAGTATAGTCAACAAATATATCAAAAAGGTGTTTAATTCTTCAAGTCCACAGACAGCTGCTACTTCGTTCTAACTGAAGAAATAGGTACTTTACAATAAAACATGCTGCACATAAAGTAAAGGATCCCTTTTCACACCCCAGGCCCATCAGGCATATAGCACTAGACTAATGGCTCTCAACCTTCCTAGTGCGGTGACCCTTCAATACAGTTACTCATGTTGTGGCGACCCCCAACCATACAATTATTTTTGTTGCGACTTCATAACTTCAGTGAATATATGTTTTGCAATGGTCTTAGGCGACTCCTGTGAAAGGGTCATTTGACCCAAAAAAGAATCACGGCCCACAGGTTGAGAACCGCTGTACTAGACCTATTTTGATATGGATCAGTAGTCGACTGGTGATGTGCTTGCTGAACATCATACTGGCTGCCTTTACCCCCCCCCCCCCCCCCCCCCCCCCCCTTTCCCCCAGAATATTACCTGGTTCCCATTTAATGCTGCACTGACCAGGGAGTTGAGGCAAATTTGGAAAAAAAATCTGTCTCGATGCAGATTTGAACCCTATACTTTTGAGCTGGCACAAGCTTCTAACCATTAAACTACTGAGACTCCCGTGCTGCACAAGAAGTTCAAATAATAACCCTACTAAAGAGAAGACATTCAAGTACAAATTGGGTTAAAGTAAGTTAATGTAACAACTGGACAAGAAGTTAACAAAAGCATATTATTCTGAAAGAAGCAAGGACTTTTTTTACAAACAAAAACAGTCCATTTGTTTGAACCACATTATAAAAAAGGGAAAAAAATATTTACTACTTTAAAAGCTGATAAAGTTACTGAAATTAAAAACATAGGGAGGAAGGTAGTGAAGGAAGATTCCTGACAGCTTAGTTCCCCAGCATAGAAAGACATATGCACACTGTTCATGGTGTACAATGTACATGGTGCAACACTGTGAGCCGCTAGTTGCATTTAAATTATTGTGCCCAAGGTGGTCCTATTTATTATTTGCAGATTCAAAAAATAATGGGTGGCTTGCTGATTCAGAAACTGCTTGTATCTTACACAATATTGTGTGTGCACTGCTGACTAGTGTAACTGTTGCTTCTATCAATGATGTATTGAAATTCTTGTAGCAAACTGTTTGAAGAAGCCTCTAATGGCTGCCTTATGCATTTAATGCATGTGTTTGCTGACACTGCTGTCTGCTTCAAATTCTTCTTCTTCTTCTTTCGTTCGCATGAAATAAATTGTCTATATCTGCAAAGCTGTCTCTAGTATGAATTTCACTGTCTTTTGTAATTCACTAAGCGGCCCGTAAAGTTTGACTTCCACAGGTGTCTCTTTTGGCCAAAGGTTTTGCCTGAAAGCGTTGAATCTGGGACAGTCTTGAAGGATGTGATCTGTTGTTTCAGGTGCCAGTCCACAAGTACACATGGCTGATTGGCCAATCTTAAATTTGTTGTACATGTGGGAGCGAAGTCAATTGTGCCCTGTTCTAAGGCGAAGGATAATGACTTGCTCTGGTCTGTCCATAAAATGGTAATCATCTTGTGCCAGTTTCGGTGGCATTCTGATTGATTTGATCATTCTCTTCTTCTGTTGATAAGAGACTGGTATGTTAGGTTGTT